TCTGTAAGCATCAGACACCCTGCAAGATGGAGTTTTGATGGAAGGAAAGCACTGTGCAGACAATACAGACAGACATTTTTACTATACATCTACAGACATTAAAGATAAAGGTGATGGATAACCAAAGAAATCTAACTCCACAACACACACAAGTCCAAACTGAAACAATGACATCTCTACTTCTAACATACATGTATTTACTGCCACATCACATCATGACCATATCATGGGTGAATACATGTGACTCCTATATATAAAAACTTGACTTTCTCTATTCAACTCACAATGATGTGTCCATGAAAACTGAATTTCAACAGTAAGAACAGAAAGGAATTATTTCTACCAACCTTATGGGCTCAGCTCCATTCTCGTTTTCCTTTTCCTTCAACAAGTTTTTCATCTTCTTCGCACGAGGACAGCCAGACAAGCTGGAGGGGGAGCAAGACAGAACGTCATCATGTCACAAGGAGCACCAAGAACCAAAATATTTCAGTTCATTTTGCAACCAAAATGGATGAAGGAAGATATATATGGCTGGGGTTCATTTGATTCAAAGCAAAATCCTCATGCCTTTAACAGAGTTGAAAGACAAGTAATCTGCCGCCAATTGGTCCAACACCATATTAAATAATCAACCTTCTTTTGGCATAATGGTATAATCTGTCAGTAGCAATCCTTTAATTCAGCAAACTGGACTAAAACTTTGATGCGGTAAAATGACTTAAAGTACATGTATGTGCATTAATGAGGTATAGATCAAACAGGATAGTAACACATTTCAGGCCCTGCAAACAGAAGCAGACTGAGACATGATGTTGAAGAGTACCTTCTGTGGGAAGAGTAGTTCCCAGTAGCATGTCCTGAACCATCACAGCCAGGCGTCGGACACCTAAGCACATGGAGGAAAGGCAACAATGTTGAACTGCACAATAGACCTTTAACAGGGAAAACACTTTCAGTTTTGTGACCAAAAAAACAACATGTATCAAAATTGCAATATTTAAGTCATACTTCGATCCCTGTGTCTAAATGTAAATCTCGCCAAGGAAGCTTGTGACTTATCACTGTTTGTTTTACTTACTATAATATTTTTTTCTTTTACATATGTTGCAGTCTTTCCCTTTAATGCAAAATTTACATGTACCACACATTTGATCCTGTAGGTGGGGTTAATTCCCCCGTTTAAATTAAACCCTTGAGAATGCCGACTGAAGACTTTCAAGTTTAAGGCAGATTGTTTTCAATATTCACACCCTCCTTCAATATACGCAATAAAAGTGAGTCACTCACTGAAATACAAAATGCACTCAACAATGTTGGCAGCAGTTATAAAAAAAAATAAAGCTGTCCAAAGATGTTAGGGCTGGAGCTTACATCTGCACATTCAACTGCTTATCCATTGTTAAAGAGCAAAAAACAGCCGCACTGCTTAGCAAAAGCCAAAAAAAGTGTGCCTAAAAATCTCAAAATCCCACTACTCACTTCTTCTCCTGCTGGTGACTCTTGTCGGGCCACCAGCAGCTTCTCGGCCTTCCGGTCGGTACCAGGAAGGAAAAGAGGCAAAGAGAGCAAAATCATTACAACCTTGACAACTCACTTCATTTCCTGCTGGTTGGCCACGATCTGGCTCTTGTCAGCACGCGGGCAGCCCGACAGGCTTCTATGTGAGGCATAATTACCCGACACGTGACCTGACCCATCGCAGCCCGGGGTGGGACACCTGTTCGTAAGAACGATGTTAACAGGTTTACTCATCGGTCGACGGATGGCTGGCAGTCATATACCACCATCTTACCTCTGCTTGAACTCTTATGTTACTTTTTAACCACCATCAACTGTGTGAGTTACTGATTTTTGTTTGCAAAAATTCTTCTGACAAGAACTACATTCCTTTTTTATTTCACAAAAGATAAATCTAGCAACTCAATAAGGTTTCAGACAGGCTTTCATTGGCTGTGATTGAATTTTGTATAAAGTGCCTGGATGTCTAACCTTCACTGAATGTACATTTGTTTGTTGTCAAGTGGATTTATTTTATACTTTCTTTGAAAGCAACATTTCTATTTCAACACCCCCAAAAATAAATTTACTTTCGCTTACAATATAACACTACACATAGTTTTATGGACCATATCAAATGGTAGTCCATTAGGGAAAGAACCCTTCAATCCAGTATTAATAGTACATCAATTAGTGAGTGTTAGACAGGAGGGCAAAAATAGGGCAGGGTGATGAGGAGTCAAAAGTTACATCAAGGGCCATCCAGGCCGACAGAACAGTGCTCGAACAGAGAGGGTTGGAACTGAGGAGAGGTTTCTACGGGTCAGACTGCAGTACTAAAATACATCATTCACTGTTTTAAAGGCAGGATATCGATTTTAAAGCAAACTGGCATGTACAATGTAATCTTCCCTTGTGCCGTAATGTTTCCGACAGTAATGGGGATCCAACTGTGTCAATCGTGCAAACTTCCAATACAGGTTTGCAAATTTTAGGACAATGATTTTTCTGATGATAACTCTTTGGTGCCTGGCCAAAGAAATCTGTGACAGTTACAAAACATTACCCCTGCCTCTGATATTGTTGCTTGTCTGTAGAAAGTAACAAACAGCTCTCTGGCTGACCTCTTCCTTACTGTGTTATGAACACATTCATCAACATAATGTCCTACTGGTCATCTTATTCCCTGCCGTTACTCTTTAAGATGGGTAGCCAGGATCCTTTAAGAGGCTATCTATCTCACTAAATATGCACTCCAATTCCACAGCTTCAAAGTGACAAAAACTAATGTGCACATCTGACATGACACAAACTAGGCATGTCAATGCAGTATTGTCATTATTAAAGCCAGCCTCATGTCACTGTGCAGTTACGGGTGAGCAAATTAACCAAACTTACGTCTTCTCAGGCTTCTTAATGGGGCTGAGGCTGCGTTAAGAGACATGCAGTGGAAGAGTTTGTTAGCTGACATGCAAAGTAAGAAGGCAGGAGCATGAGTGTGTATGTAGAAGTCAGACCTGCAAGCAATGTTACTGGTTAAGAGTAGGTTATGTAGGTATCACATCCCCAAAAGCAGCTGTTATCACAACCAGTTATTGATTATATGCAGATTGGCAAACAAGCAGCATTAAAATATGGTCAGTCAATTATAGTAAATTGCAAATTTGTATATTGAAAAGTCTAGAAAAGATATAATTATAGTTCATTTGCAAGTTCTTTTTGGAAACAATAATTCATTATATACAGAATCCTCTCCACACCTACGAAGTGCACCAAAGACAATTGCTCTGAGGATTTCCTACCTGCTTTATTAGTTCTTTTGATTCTGCAGTTTACATGTATCTCAGAGAAAAACAGACCTGATTCAATAGTGGTGTGAACATGCTAAGATCTCACAGTCTTTGGTACACTTTGCAAACAGGCCTCACACCAGAAGACAGAGAGTGGCATACGTACACATATCCCTGATTGAAGTCCGTCCTGCCTGATGTGATGGAGGTTGTGTACGTCGGCGTGCTCAAGCCGTAGGTTAGGGATTCTGTGCTGTAATTGTCCTGAGAGTACGACGATGACATAAGGTTCTTGGTGCTGACCACCACGCTGGGCCTCTGGTACATAAACCTGTCGTCCTGGGACGACTGGGGAGGGGGCGTGGCCGCCGTGGCCACCGTTTGGCTCTGATTCTGACTCTGATTGGACTTCATGCTCAGGTCGAGAGTTCCGTTCTGGTCGACGATCAAGTTCTGTTCGCTGGTGGGCGTTGTGGGACTCATCGGCATTGTCTGTTGTTGAGGCGGAGGCTGGGGCTTCGTGGAGAGGTTGATGGCCGTCGCCGCCATGCGTGCCGTGTTCGGGTCGATGCGGTACTCTACTTTCTGCGTCGGCGTAGAGACAGAGACGGAGACAGGGGAGACGGACATCGGCGTCGGCGGCTTGGCGAAAATGGGCTGGGGTGGAGGCTGCTGTGGCGGCTGCGGCGGCTTCTTCTCGTGCGACGGGAGCTTGGGCGCGATGGCCCGCTTCCCGAGGTACGCGGCCGGGTCGTACGGAGTGTACTCCATGGGCGTGAGCTTGGCGTACTTCTCCAACTCCTTGGCGAGGTTGGTCCTGGGGATAGCAGGGGAAACGACCGGAGGGTAGCCATATTGAGCCACGTCCAGTTTCTTCACAAAGCACATTGGTCTGGGCAAGAAGAGGACAGAAGAAGAGAACAAGGTGTGACGGGATGGACCATACCCACGTACAGAATATCACAAAATTTAACACCTGCCAAAATTGGTATCTACTCTAATGCTTCTGGATTGCCATTCAGTTTCTTTTTATAACTAGTGTCATCTTTTAAACTTGCCAATGCTGATGTACATATACACAGATTGACTTTGTCTGTCTACAATGGTCCATCCCTGTCCAGCTATTGAAGATGCCAACAAAAACAAAATGGTAACAAAAAACTTGAGGAAGATTTTCTAGGGAAACCAAACATTAGATTGTGTAAGCAAAGAAAAAGAGGCCAGAACCAATTCAAATGGAGTGTAACATGGAGTACACTTCAACAGCATTAGACTGATATGCTGACAGAGCAGGTTATATATTTTGGACAGAGCAGATGAGTGGACAATTCAATCAAAAGCTTTTCAGGACTAAGACTACCTGGCATGTACATGTAATGATATTATATAAAACACAAAACATGTATAATTTCCATTACACTTTATACTGTAACACCAACATAGTGGCTGGCAAACGACATGTTATTTCAATCACTGTCATTGCCAAACAACAGAATGTAATGTACTCACAAATTACATTACAGAACAAATATATTTGGACTTTAAAATGGTTCATCTATTCATTGGTTACATACCAGTGGTAGAAATACTTTTTTCAATGTTCTGTAATATCACAGGTGAATCAAAATTTTGTCCTGCAATTTGGAAACACTTTCTACAAATACACAAGCCTCCATACTACAACCTTCTCGACGTAATAAAGCAAAATTGCAGATTGTAGGATTTTTCTTCTGCAACATTGTAAATCTCTTTGCAAAATGCAGAACGCAGATGGGTATTCATACCCATGTTATTGATAAGAAATCCAGGGTACCAACCTCAGGACCCTGTCAGATGGTACCCCCGGCGGAGTCTTGGCCTCTGCGTGTGGCTGTAGTTTAGTCTGCTGCTTGTTGAGCTTCTGTGCTGCAGCAATGGGGCAGCCAGATAAACTAGAGACAGAATAAAGACCACGTCAGCAATGATCAAACAACAGTCATGGCTTTCTCCTGGAAAAGGCAAAAAAAATTTTTTTTTAAGTCAACATTTTCAGGTATGCAAACAAACAAATCATACCCCATGTTTGGAAAATAAATGTTCCTACGTAGACAAAAAGTGAACACCAAAAACACATCACGACACTTTTACTGAAGACATGCAAGTGGCGACACCCTTTTATCCCAATGTACAACAATTACATATATCGGCTTCCTCTCACAAGCTTCAAGCGCACATCGATTTTGAAAGCTGCAGAAACAGTAATTGTACCAAATGGTAGGACTGGAAAGATGTTGGACATGTACCTGTGCTTCTCTGGCGAATACATTATCGGGATAAGAAAAAGTGCTAATACACCAAAAAAATACCCCACAGTTCATATGGTATACACACGTAACAAGAAGCCTCAAAAGCCCTTGAAGGAAATATGTAGACAATCAACTGAAAGAGCATGGATATTCAATATTGCACATGCGTACAACAGGCCAGTCAGCATATTTTAATTATGCATAAAAAGCAGCATAAGCTTAGCCTGGTAACCAGACCCCCGTGAGCTCACCGCTATCTCTTCGGGGCTGGTAGCATTTCTGGCCACCAAACCAGGCCCCAATTACTGTGCCGGGGGTAGCTTTTTGCAGACAGTTTAGATTTTTTTCGCTTGTGTTGGCGCGCAATAGAAGACTCAGCGTAAGACAGGAAGTCAGTGGATAAAGGGAAACTAGCTGGAGATAGGTCCGCGGGTATAGCTCACCTGTGCTTAGTAAAGGCCGGCTCACTGCTTTTTGCCTGCGGTGTGATGTGTTGTATGAGAAATACCCTCAAATTGTGCCTATGCAGAGTGCTATATGGATGGTACTGTATGTGCAACCCAACAATTGTTGGGCTCCACAGGACAAATCAGTTAACTAACACAGACAAATAGGTTAACTGACAAACACAAATTTTCCCCTTACCTTCTGTGAGAATTCCGGTTGCTGTTGACATGTCCTCTTCCTGTACAGCCTGGTGTGGGACATCTGTGAGGGAAGAACAGCAATCAAACACTAACAACAACTGTCCCTAACCAGAAAAGATGCCTTATTCCTCTTTTGGTTACTTGTTTCAAAGGTTTATGAAGGAAAACATCTGGACCAATCTAGTTAGTAAGTTTGATGCAGTGACAAGTAATACTTACATGTAATCAGTTTTGTGTGCAACATTGTCTCCAACATTTAACTACAAAGATCAAATTTAAGGACAAAGATATTCCTGGAAAGACTTATTTCAGACTTTCGTGCTATGTTCATAAAAAGCGAGACAGGCTGTAAATCGTATGCTTGTGAAGTTATATCACTTAGTCTAGAAACCTGCATCTGAAGGTACAGATTCTCACAAATACAGTTAACAAAACTGAACATGCTGGATCCAAAGTCTGAGAGGAAACAACAGCTTTGAAGTATAAATATTAGGCAGTGTACAAGAGCAAAGATGGTTGGCTAATACTCACTTCAGCACATTCTCATGTGCAGCCAACACTGAAAGAGTGGAACAGACAAGGCAACTGGAGTAAGTGGGAGGTTAGAGAGAGCAGAGAGAAGTTGGGGTGGACACTTACGTTTCTTTGTTTGTACTGCACAATGATTCGGCCACTGTGGAAACATGTAAGATGATGGACTTCACAATCTTGTTAGGAACACTATAATGATGACAGGCAAAGCACCTGGGCACCAAGTCATATCACTCTCTACTACATTGTATATGGAACATATTCTTATTTACAGGGAAACCTGTTATACTTTTCTAACCCTTCCTTGAAGAACATCTCTCAAGACACAAGTACTTGTACACAACGCACATGTTCATTCAAACTGACACTTCAATATGATTTAGGGTCAACTGTGACACTATAAAGCCACCAGTGAGGCATGGTAATACCAGGGGAGTAAATTTTTACTTGATGTCTAAATGCTCTCTGCTGTAACACAAAGGAAATGTCTTCAGGAAAGTTATTCCTAAATCTATACAACAGGTTACATGCCAATCTAACAATATACAATGTACCAAAATCTTAAGAAACTTACACTCAGGGGGTATCTTGTCTTTGTGAGGACATCCTGACAGACTGGTTAATAGAAAAAAAAACATGGTATGACATACAAATAACAACACAGAAATGTAACATATGTATGAATGCAAAGAACATCAATTTGATTTACTGCCACAAATAACCTCTAGGCCACTGAAATCAGAGTAAAACAGTACAAGATTTAGGGTTAAGCACATAATTACTATATAATAACAGCATACACACCTTCTATGGTGGGAGTACAGTCCTGTCACATGTCCCGTACCATTGCAGCCTGGTGTCGGACACTTGCTGTCACCCTCTCTCTCTACAACACAGGTATTAAGGGGCTGTTAAGATTATGGTGCAATCACATTGCTTTCCAATCAACTGTTTGTCTTAAAGTTAATGCTTCTCACACTTGTCACTGCTCTACTCCTGCAATTTTTCTCAAGTCCACTAGGGACTCTCTTCACAGATAAATGTGTGTTCAGTCAGCCATGTCTACCATGTATGTACCTCATCTACAAAACGTGCCACCAAGCCTTTTACATGTTGTTATTTGTCGCTCCCTAGCTACTCACCCTTCCGTATGGTCCCTTGTGGAGTCTTTGGAACCTTTGGCACCACAAAGTCCTGCCTCGCCTGTGGAACGTTCTCCTTCGCCGAGGGCGACACGCCGACAGGGTTGATGGTGGTCAGACCCTCGGCTATCCGCTCCAGCTCCACTTTAGGTTTGATGACGGCGATGTTTTCTCTCGCCAGGGGAAGGGGCTGTTCCAACGTCGTCCTGGGGATCTCGGCACCTGTGATGTTTTCTACGGAGTAGGGTTTCCCCGCGTAGTGGTCGTCCTTGATGTCGGAGTGTTTGCAGGGTTCGGGGCTGGGAGGGGGGGAGTTGGCGGGGGAGGAGGATGTAGAGGATGAAGACGAGCTGCTACTGTCTGTAACCAACCAGGAGGGTCAAGTTAGGACAACTTCACAGGGTCATACAAATACTTATCATGGGCTTATCAAGCTGTATTCCTTCAAGCACAATCACAAGTCATGGAATGATTTTCTTTAACTGTTCGCTTTCTTTTACTTCGTAGCTCTGTTTTTGTCTTTCTAAATTCAAAGCAACTGGGATGGTTTTAAGACACATGAACAAAAAGCATCAAGAACATCGTTTATCTAATACAAATGGCAGCCTAGTTTGAGATGCAAACAAGTTAGTTAGGACATTTATAGCAAAAGGCAGTAGTGTTATGTCTAGGTTGTCAATGTTTCATATATCTTGTAAACTCCATGATGATGCAACCTCTACATTATTCACTTTACACAAAAGACATCAATAGCAAAGACTTAATGATTCAACTACCATGCACTGAATCTATTGCACAACTGTTAGTAAAAAAACAAAAATTTAAACATATGGATGGCAAACTGAAATCTAAATAAGCGCATACTCACACAAGCAAGCACATACAACAGAACAAACCAAGTCGTGGTTAGAAGTCGAAGAAGCATATAAGTAAGCCAACGTCTGACCTCCTGATAACGACGTTTTCTAGCTCATCAAGGATATTTTTCCAGCATGCCACGGATTCAGGACTCCCCTCGCCGTTACATCGAGAAAGGAAGGACGTCCTGAACCAACAGCTTGGAAAATTTGCAAAAAACTCCTTATTTTCCAATCAACAAATTTTGGGACAGACTTTTTTCCAGAAGGATCTTTTTCTTCGACTGTAAGTAAAGAATCCCTTGAAAAAAATCAGCATATGGAAAACAGAAATTTTTGGAGTCCTGGATGCGTCACGCACCCACCTGAACTAGATGAACTGTCGTCATCTGGCTCGCGTTGCTTTTTACCTCTCTGGCCGTCGATGTCGAGCACCCAGCTCCCACCAGACCCGTTCAGAGAGGAGTTCCCGCTCCCACAGTCCAAGGTAACCAGCTCGGTGCTGAGCTGTCGCGCCAGACTGTCACACTGGCTACGCAACGTCTCCAGTCCACTGATAGCTTCTCTCTCGTCCTCGTCGTACTTGTTTTCATCGATTTCGTCCCTAATGTCCACCGAGTTCTGGCTACTGCGCTCTTCAGAGTAGTCCTGACTGAACCCTACACTGGAATGTTCGCTCTGTGGGGAGCTTGCTACGGAGGAATGCTGTTGCTGATCACTGGAATTCCCTGGAGACTGACCTTGCACCTCTGTAGACTGCTGTAGATGATGTTGTTGTTGTTGTTGTTCTATCTGCTCAGAAGCTGCCTTTTTGAGACTTATCAACGATCTTGCTACCAGCTCCTCGTAGCTCTTAAAGTTCTCATCGGGGCTTTCTAAGGGAGGAGGCGGCGCAGTGTCGTTCCCGACATGCTCCTCCTCCGGCGCGGCTTCCGAACCCTCCGCACTCTCAGGCTCCATCACGTTAGACTGGTCATCCCCATCATTGGGGTCATTCTGATTGGTCAGTTCTACATCAGATGAGGGATACTCCTCAGCCTCCATCAGGTCCTCGCTGGTGGAGGAGGACTGTTTGTCGGTAGACTTCTTGCTCTTGTCCGAACCTTGCCTGGCAAGTTTCCTCCTCTTGGCGGCAAGAGGACATCCATAGGTGCTACATAGAAACAAAGCATCATGCCTATCAATTCTCCACCAGCTCAGTTATCTTGCAAAAAAATGTCTGACTAAGAAACATTAGGATAAGAACTGTGCAGTATACATGTACAGTCATAAACAATCGGCTTTAGTCACTTGAAGATTTGAATCAGGAGGAAAGTAGAGTTTGATGTGAGAGAATTGGCAGAAGTCTGGCTACATGTCGCAGGGATGGGGCCCACATTGGGGTTTGCTATAGGACCAGATTCAGCACCAGAAACTTCCTCCAACAGTGTCCAACACATGAGACTTAACCTAAAGAAACTTAGTACATGTTTGAAAGTTCATGTTGATCAACATGATGGGCAAATTTACATAATTCATCGTCAGCTATGAACTCCTTGAGAACCAATCATTTTTGGGGTCATCATTTCCACATGCTTCATCTTTACATTCAACAGTTTGTTTTTTCAATGACAAAACTTGCTATCTTTCAAACATAACCAGTTGGCAGTTGCAAGACAGTACAAGGGGGTACAGTAGCTTCAGAACACTGACTACAGCAACATGCAGAAAGCTCAGGCGGAGAAGACAACAAACACACAAGACTACGACACAGTCCCTCCATGCTCCACCCACCTTCTGTGCTTAGCATACTTGCCACTGATGTGGCCTAGTCCATCACACCCAGGGGTGGGGCAGCTGGCGGTGGTGCGAGGGGAAGGAAAATTCAATAGCTATGACACACACAAAATACTACGTTCACATCCTGAGAGGAGCAAGCAGTAGAGGGGAGAAAAAGGAGAGCCACTAAGTAAACAATGCTTCCTTTCGCATGATGATGCCTTTTTGGTTCAGATTGTATTCACACTCATATACATGTATGTCATATGCCTGCTCTTGTTCCAATTTGGTTTCCAAAACTTCTAGTCTTGCCATAGTGTTGTTCATGGTTTTGGTCGAAAGCAACTAGCCAGTGACTATCAGTATCACAGTAATAGGTTACTGGTAATCACATTTTTCTGTATTGTAAGATGGAAACTGGCCTCCCTACCAAAACGAGTCTCACAATAACACACTACAATTTTTACAAGAGATTCACAGCTATGATTTCAAATTCAGGTTGGTCTCTTATCTGGTGATTATGGGTCAAGAAAGGAAACATTGAATGGAAGAGAGGAGAAAATTCCACAAGATTGGAGCAGCAATAGGAAGAAACTACAGAATTCAGACTGCAAGCAGCAAACTTGTTCTACGGCAAAGTCTACACAAACACTCACCTTTGGTCTGGCATGGATGATTCTATGGAAAAAACAAAACAGAAGAAATCATGACTTACACCAAACATTATTCACATTTTCCTTTGTACAGAACTCTGGCATAAAGAAGGATGTCATTACTAGATATTTTACAAAAGTCTACTAAATGTAAATAGCAGAACATTTCATCTGGTATTGTATTGCTACATCCAACACAACACAATAAAGGCTTTACACATGCTTTACACGTATACTTATATGCTATCATGTCATTACCATTCAATATCATTATGGTGTACCTACACTAACAATAACATACTGAAAATCCCAGGGCACAAGCCCACATAGTTTCCTTTCAGGTGAGTACATGACATGCTCTCCTCACCTGCCTGTCCTCGTTTGGATCTTGTTCTCAACCTTTTGTCCCCATTGTCAGGGCCATCCATCTGTAACATGATCATATTCTGTACGTTAGAGAAGCTCTCTGGGGGAGTTTAGACAACAGTTGTAGGGGATGAAGATCTGGGAAAGGCTTGGAAATGATACTACTGGCACAGGGTCATCTATGTGTAAATTATGCTTTCAATAATGTCATGTTGTGTTAGTTGCAGTAGAGTCATATACTGTAAAGGTCATCATTGCAGGTGGTAAAACAAGAACATCCTATCTAATATCACTTTTACTGACTGACTTTTCATACTGATCTGTATTTAACACAACTCATTAAGCACCAAATATCATCACAAGCATATCATGTACTTTAAAAAACTGTCAACATCTATGGTCATGGACAACTCAGAATACACTATGACCTTATGGAATGTTTACCATGGCATGTGTACTGGAAATGCCGCATGTCATTTCATGTGTGGACATATTTACAAATAACAGATTGCCACTGTGACTATTAATCTATATACGTGTATGACATAAAATGTGAACTATCAATTAACTGCACTGTTTCTTTACACAGTATGATACAACAGCATACGTAACCCTAGTTGTAAAGCAAGCCGGTTAACGTTCACAGCGACAACACAGCGTTAGCAGGACTAACCTTATTCGCACTGCTGTTCTCCTGGTCGCTGGTGTGGTCCTCTTCGCGACTTTTGACCACCTCGGCCGCCTCTGTCTTCCGCCCGTTCCTCCAGACACCTTTCTTGTTCCCGGCGCTCACCTCCAATACTTCATTTACATCCGTGTCTGCAGGCAGAGAGGAGGATTAATGACCAGGATCGACTCTTCCATCTTATCGCCGGCTCCCAGATTTAGGTGGAACGTCAGGGAGTCGTATTTAATATTACACTCACACAGCGCCGGGCGAAAAATAACCAGCTTTGCAGATCTGCGAGGCGATATAAATTGAACCCTCTGAGAGCACCATGCAATTTGAGGCGTCTCGCATCCGTGATGGAATATATCAGCGTGTACCGTGCGCAGCTACGCAATACCCATGACAATCAATTTCACAGTGCCGGGGCCAATATTCCCAGAATCCCTTGGGCCGGCCTGTCAAGCCGTCTCCCCTCGAGACTAATTGCCTTAGCCTTGCTGATGACAGAGTTTGTATCATCTGCATTCATGCCACGATATCGACAAACCTCCAAAAGCTTCTTCTGTCTGGCTGCAGAAATGGCTACCTTCATCTTCATTCACAAGAGAGTACCATTTGTCATCTCATTGAAGTCTCCCATGCATGGAATAATAGCTATTTGGACTGCTACACACATGCCTGTCGTCAAAACCCACAGGCTAAAATATTCACGTCAAAAACCTAATAAGTAGCCCTGAGGGCCATCTAACTCATCTTTATTGAAAATGAGCAACATCGAGGGGAAGAGCAGGTTTTTGTCCATTGGGAAAATCAGCGCACCTTATATTCATTATTACGAAAGTAATTTTCTAAACAACTATGGCTTAAAATGACAACCTTGAAGGTTATGAATTTGTTAGTCTCTTCCTAGGTTCCACTTTTCTTCATTGCCTGTAGCTAATATTGCTTTTCATAGTAGACCTGCTGAAACATCAAATTAGATTTCTAGAAAGTCTATTACATAAACTTGCATAACTGTCCAGAAACAAAGCTTTAGACAAAAGGAGATGGTTGAGGAGAAGGTTATACTACCATAACTCAACAATTCAAGAACATAACTAACAGTCATGACTGAAGAATCCACAGTTATAAAATGAGAGGTGACAGTTATAGGTCAGGTCGTATCTATAAAGGCCAACTGTCACTGGTCTCCATCCATTATGTACTGACAGCAGACCCTTACATGTAATACTGACAAATTCAAACTACCTGCTACAGTGGACAACACCTACAAACACCTACAAATCTGCTGAACCAACGATCAATTCTATCAACGACATGCATTTAGAGTATTAGATTTTATATCGTTGCAATGTCCAGAATTTTAGATTTTGTCTCTCATACAGACACATCCCTAACAGTGCTTTTGTGGCATTAAGCTTGGCCCAGTTCAACAACTGGAATTGCTCAGTGGTAATGTGTACTGTGACGTTCTTCCTGCTCTCAACCCAGGAATTCTAACTTTAATACGCTGACGTCAAAGCCCTCATCGGTTACTTTCTATGTCCAAAAATGTTTCAGACATGCATATGTGTGAGCCTCACTAGTGCAGAATGCCATCCATATTTGGAAAAGTCTGGTGAAGAAAACATGCCAACACACAGTAGTGATTTTTTTTAGAAATTTGAATTTTTCCTTTTACTTATATTTTATAAATTGTACATTTACTTTCCCCGAGCTGGCTGATAATCATTTGTCTGGAGGTGCACATCCATTAGACTTGTCCTGAGGTAGCCCTAGCTTTCGGCACCAAATTTGTATTGATTACATGGATACTTAGAAGGTTTCAGAGTCTTTGTTTACACATATTCTTTGGAGTACTTGGAATCTAAGAATATATTTTCATTTATACTATCTACTGCAGGTTGACCAATGTTCCCACAGTAGAGCTTTGATAAAAGAGGAGACTATAAATATCTGCCTCTTCTTGTGTGTTCCTTATCTCAAATATCTATTCAGCCTTTGCCCAGCGCACAACCTATCCCTGATGGGTATAGATACTGGCAATGAGGATGTACAGGTGTTATGAGGAGATAGGCATGACATATTGGCAGGGCTCAGAATACAATTTTGACCAAACCTGCACTGGTACCAATCGATCTTTAAGCAACCCGTGCCAGACAAGAAAATTTCTACCTGCACAAGCTGGCAAACATTTTAGCCTGCATAGATGCATTTCTACCTGCACAGAAGTATGCAAATTTATTTTACGCTCTCTACTGGCCTCATAGGTCCTTCTTATTAATGTCAATCAGGACAGGTAAGGGGGTTATGTATCGAAGACACATCAAAGGTATAGCCAACAAGGATAAGACAAGAAGTAACAGCAAGATTCCTTCCCGGTGAATCATATTCTACCCTTGCTTCTTTCCTGCCATCCCAGCTGAGCGATTCTTCATGTGAGCCTAATCTCGTAAACCTCTGCCCACTCCTGTCACACGGTTGCCAGGCAACAGAGGTAGCTACATGGCCGAGCATCACGTCTGCAGAGGCTCTGTAAATCCCATGTGTTTCCGACCTCTGCCTGCTCTTTACCACCCCTTCGTCTATCACCCATTAGACATATGATGCCGCCGCGTAGGAACAACATGCGTCACCGACATTAATTCTCCTACTACACGCCTCTCTTAGGAAAACCACAAAGACGATGCACTTGATCATAACCACACAAACAACTGTCTCGAGAGTCATAGCCCCGAATACATTTAAATCCACGTAAACGTCACCGCGCAGCTTCCCAGAATACAACTCAAACAGGGGAACAAGAAGCTGCATTATAAAGATTCGCCGCCCACCACCCCCCGGCCTGCACTCGCAGCCAAGTCTGATACATGGCAGAGGAGTGAGCTTGTCAGTATGTTCCGAATTATCATGCTGCCCTCCACAACTTGCGTCACGAAAGTAATGCATTTCAAGTGCCAAATGCTTGACACATGTATGGCCTTCCTGAAGGGTGCAGGTAGCTTTTACCATGGACCATTATCGAGCCACTCACGGCTTCTTCCCGTATGCTGGGTCGTGACCTCGGCTCGCCGCCTCCATATTTCAATCCATATTACTTTTGCTAGCCCTGGGACACAAAGACATGCATTACAAAATGCTCCCTGGCTTATACAAATCAAACCATGGTTCCAACGCTACCCAACTTCCAGTGTATTATCTACCACGTCAAGTCAAGACGATACATACAACTATGGACTGGCAATGAGCCCCTTCTTCTCTGAAGAAGAGATTGGAAATGCGAAAGCCTAATGTCACATCTGTAACTCAGCATCTCTTACTAGTACCTTCCACATGAATATCAGGGGAACACTCATGGAATTTATCACAAAAGATTTACCGGTGATAAATTATGTTTCATATTATCACCATCTACCTATAAAATATGCTGCAAGGAATAAATTTATTTTGAACACCCTTGACATAAAATGACTCAAATCCTAAGACCCTAACTGCTGGAATCTATATTTGATAGATAATAAATGTAGTAAAAATATAGCATATGTATGTATGTATATACATATAAGGTTTGAATATCAGAAAATAACATTCATACGTGATCTTGGACATCCACAGTTTTAACATTTTACATGTAAACAAATGCCTAGGATTGTCTACTGACATCAAAACAGGCTAGAACAAAGAGTATTCATCAGACATAACGTGCAAAACAAAACAATCGTCTAACTAGAAATAATCCTTATCCTGATGTATTGCAAACAATGCAAATGAAATCATTTGCAAAACACAAATCATTGTTACATCTTAGCTCATACCTACTAGATAACGAGTAAAACTTACACAGTCAGGCTCCCCACAACAGCGATATGACACAGTGCTGTTTTGGGGGCTGGGCAGCCACCGGGAAAAGGACGATGTTGTAAGTTGAAAAACTACAGGCCGTGAGGTTTTCCAGCCATGCGTCTAGTGCATTTGTGCCTCTACATAAGCCAGCCGAGGCAATTTTATTGGGTTGTCTCCCCTGAGGTAATTCCCTTTCCATTCGCTGCTCATTTGCATTCTGTTCAACCACCTGCTACCTTTAACTTAGCAGTTAGGCAGAACTGTAACTCCAATGAACAGTTAGGGAGAGGTAGTCCAGGCAAACTGAGTTAGACAAGATTTCACTGTTGCCATTTACCAACGTAAATTTAATCCCAACAGAACAAACATTATTACCTGGATGGCAATTCTTCCTCCAGTATGTAATAATAAGGTCGTATTTATAATTTCTCACTCACGCAGCATTTGAACTTCTCCTGCTTCACATTTAATACTTCAGTCACTGGTATATTATTAACAAAGCATCAAAGGGTCAACCCTAAGGGTCACAGCATGTGCTGCTCTCTAGTGCATATATTGAATTTAAGGCCTGGCAGCCAATTGTGAATATGATATATCAGTTACAAATTCGGTAAATGTCTATCAAGTTCCAGTCAAATATATCCACAACTATATGCGTTAATGACATGCTATAATACCAGTACATCAAAGATACAATTAGAATTTATTATCAAATCCTTGTTTAACCTTCAGCCTGCTGAGGTAGCCATTTGGCACCAAATTTGTGTTGGTTATGGTTTTAGGCAGCAGGGAGAAGGTAAAACTCTATAGTACACAAACAAAGGTTTGGGTTAGTTATGGCATGTTTTTAGGCTTTCCCACTGTTGCAATGTTGTATTAGGTTAGGTGAAAAAAAATGCCAGTGCAAAAAAGAAACCCTGAGCCTAAAAATATGCCTAAAAACATGCCAAGATATAACCCAAAACCCAAACCTCTGCTTGGAGAGTACTGCTGTGTGCATTGATCGCCTCACCTTTGTCAGTCCTGGTGCACCCATTGGTGAGCCCAGGCACCGCTCCATTGACAGGTTTGTGGATGCGTGGGGAGACCCTCAGGCCCGGGGCCTTGTGCAAGGCTAATGCTGCCTGCTCTGACTGCTGCAGGAGGAACAACAAAACACAAACATCAGCAAAAGTTTATTTCTATAGATACAGACTCAGGTCTTCTCAAAAACTATTACGTTACTTTTACCATCATCAATCCCTATAGCTACTCTGCAATTTGTGCAATACTGAAAGCATTAATTTGACTGCTACAGGAGGAACAACAAAACAAATATCAACATAAGTTTGTCTATAGATATAAACTGAGGTCTTGTCAAAAACTACCACGTTACTTTTACCATTAGCAATCCCAACCCTCTGAAAATTGTGCCGCAATACTGACAGCATTAAGTTGTTAATAGCAATTAACACTAAGAGGTACTACTTCTTGATGAGGGATCATCAATGCAGGAAATTAAAACTAGTACGAAGTACATAAAAACTTTTAGCTGGGTTATCATAGATCAAAACTACAAGCAATATTTTACAATTTAACAACTACAGACACTACTACCATTCGAAGACATCCAGGAACCACGACCACACTCATGTCTGTCCTGAGTGAATTAGGAAAACACTAGATCTAATTGCTTTCAACCCCTGTTCTTTGTTCAAAGTCTTCCCTGCCACAGATGTGAAACAAGAGGAAGCTACTGAGAGGTTCTGTGGCTGGAGTTGATCTGGCCAATGGGCTTTAATCAGGGATAATGAGATACATGCACCTGCTGTCCACTCAAATAGGCCATACCACTTTCGCCGGGGACCAGAATATATAAGTAAGGAGGGTTATAACTCTGGGACTAGGAAACTCGACCCACGGCAGTTACTAGTACTTGTCGGGCAAAGCTCAGATATTTTTGCTTTTATGTACTGTATCTTTCATCAGTGTTCAATCAGCAGATCAATGTTTTACACAATATGACCAAGGGGCAGGACTAATGATCCTCAGTACTTTGAAGATTTGTGAACCAAAAATTATTCTTACTCTCAAACAAAACTTTTACTCGGAAAAGATAATGAAAGTATTTCCTTATGCGAGGCTTCCTGTTTTCTAGTCCTTTGATGTGCCATTTATTATACATAACACAAGCTCCAAAATTTAGAGTAGCTCTCTTTATGCTTATACCTCAGCAGCCTTTACAGTAACCTCTCCATACAACCTCCTCGGTTAACTCTAGCACACTACAACTGCCTCTGTATTCCATCATCAACAATCGCACATGGTAACTGTCAATAACATTACCAGTATAAATAGAACAATAGTTCAATACCTATCATATGAGCACTTAACATTGGCTTAAGCAGCATATCAGTATGTTCCTGTTTCTGCATATGTATCTGGAAGGTGATGAAAAGTGTCCATGAGATCACTATAACCAACATGTCTTGAGGGGACAAATCGTTTTAAATAGCGACAGAACACAAAAGGTCAAAAGAAACCACATGAGACTTCACATGTCATTGACATCTGCTGCCCTCACATGCAAATTAGCACCTGCCACTCAACTGCTGGGGGTGTACAGCCCTCGTAAGTATATGTACCAACTAACACTGGACTGTGACATTGCTCTATGTGGACATGTCAGGGGTTTCATACTTTAACAACACACCACACAACAAGAAAACAACATCTTTTGTACACATAATGATGACGCGATAGATTTTTCACAGAGGAACATAAAAGGCCAAATTAAATGTTTTTGTACCCTGCGGCAACAAAGGGCGGTACAAACTTTACAGAAGTTCAGACAACTTCATGTGTTTTGCAGATATAACAACAACAAGCTTTGGTCAAAGTAAAGCAATACCATGGGGACCCCAAATTACATCAACAGTAGCCAACTCACATTCTCAAGTTACAGCTAAGATGGGAGAAGGCAGACCAATTTAGGCTTTGGCCACCTGAGCCTTTTAAAATCAGGGATCAGTTTTGTCACCTGTCACTGGCATCTGGTAGTATCAAATAAACTAGGCCTATAAGACTTTCCCCATAACCTAAATATACACCCTAAAACAGTACTTCTACTGTATTGAGGTTGGTAAATCTTGAACCACATACTCCTAAAAAAACATGGCTATCTAATTACTACCACTATGATTTATGTGAGACAAATTACACAACAATTGGTGGTTTTGAAACCTTTCTTTTCTAAGGTCAAATACAAAGAATGCGATAAAAAAGCAGGAAGATTTAGTAAGCAGGAACCGGTCTGCTTATGACACAAATACAAAGGATTGCATCCTATTGAAAGCTTGGTAAATAAACTATGCTTTACCGGTTCAATCACATTTCGAATCCTGAATTTTAACGATAATTCTTTTTAAAACTTTGTTATTTCTTCAAAGTATCAACTAAATGTGTTCCTTAGTTACTTACAGGTGTAACAACTTTACTGAGAGAGTTTGAAGCTGATTTCTAACACCAGTGGTCAAAGGAAGCTTAGCTAAACAAACAACCTCCTGGTTCTTTGTGTTCATAATCTGGGATTGGAACCTTTGTTGTATGAAAGTTCGTAGGCACTCCCTATCTGCGTCATTATAACCTGGTATATGCACTACCAAAACAACTTACAGCTTAGTAAATAATAATAATTTCCATTCTCCAATTTTATACCTCTGTAAGTTTTAAACTGCAGATAAACAAACCAACGTTATAATGTAACACATGTTGATCAGACATGTACACGAGATGTTCTCCCCTTGGATGGTTTAGACTAGAGAGGATAGAGATCTGAGAGGAAAAAGTTTGAATCAGTCCACCTCCTGTCCCACAGGAAGTTCCACATGTCCCATATCCCACAGAGGTCACCTACTTCTATTTAACCAATGAGCTTTGGTTATTGCAGCTGGCAGCCTTACTTGGTGATCACCACAGCCCACAAGTATTACTTGTCAAAGCACATGCAACATAGCTTTTATACCATTTTCTGAAAAAGAATACAGACATTACCTCAACTTTCAAGAGCTTTCAAGTTGACTTCATACACAAGTTGAAGGGGAAAAAAATCATCATTCAACTGCTAAACCGGTCTTGTTTCTGGGTCCTGCAGCCACCCCCAAAATAGGTTGTGAATCCCTGGAATGCCACTCTTGTCACAGCTAAAGTTTGAGCACACTCCAGCGCAAGTTACAAACTTTCCCAGTAGACAGGAAGTCTTCAACTATATCTGCCAAACACAACACGCCACAACACCCAAACTTTTGCAAGGAAGTAGGACCTGGGAAAGAAGTTTTGACCCGTTGTTATATGCTTGTGGGAAAATTCTAACTAGCAAATGTTGCTTCTCATGGCCTTTCACAACACCCAGATCAAATGTCATACCGCTACTGTTTCCAAGTTTTAAACATAGTAACTTACACAGTACACAAGTTTCCAACCAGGCTGCAATGCTGAACACAACAAGTCAAACCAGTTCTTTGGTTGGGTTGGTTGGGAGTTTACCCCTTCAAATCAAGTAAAATATGCCAGGGAGGGGCATTAAAGTCGAGGTCAACAAATTCCAGAAAGTTTTTGCCCCACTTGAGTTTGCAGGGTCAAAAGACAAGGCTAACAACTCTCGACGATAGAGCTAAGCTTGAGATATAACAGACACCAGCTACACAGAGAATTTCAAACTCACCATTGAGAGTAGTTAGAAGGCCCAAAGTTTCAGCAGAAGTTTTGTGAGACACCAAATGTAAACCACAGACCTAGCATGTGTCCACATGTGTGGCCTGTCACACTCACAGGGTCACCAAAGAAGTTGGGGAAGTTGGGTCGTACCATCTAACTTTAGAAAAGGGTCTGACATGGTAGAGTTCTCTTTATATTCATATCACAGCTACTAAAACATTAATCAAGACAGATCCAAAATTACAACTTTGTTCAGAATATATCACTTCTGAAATAAAAGGTAAATACTGCAGTTTGATATTTGTTGGACAAGAAATTTGGACGGCTCTATTTTGTTTTAGGTCCAAAAGGAGTTGGCCGTGCATCTGTCAATAACGACAAGAGGAACAGGTGGAGAACCATTTACAGAAAGGGGAAATAAAATTCTGAACTCTGTGTACTTTCTCTGGAAAACAAACAGTCTTTGTGTGGCAAATCTGCCATTGATTCAGTCCTATGCAAAATAGTTTATCCCTGAGCTTAGTAAAGACATTAGAAGGCACAGCCAAGAGAAACATCCTTGTTTCCATGGCAAACATGTGAGAAAGACCTCAGCTGTGATTCTAACTTTTTTTGCCCAAATAAGGGGGTCACGCCTTGGCTGGGTAGAATTAACACACACAGTAGCCACCAACTGATTGATTAGGGACAGACCATTACACATCAACAGGGGACTCCTGTCAAACTAGTAACAACCACATAGCAACTGTGCTAAAAGCACACAAGTCAAACTACCCTCTGAAGTCAAGAAAAAAAAAACAATTAGAATATAAATTCTTCTATAGAAAAGATTGGCCAAACAAGTTTTACAAAACCCCTACTACCTTCACCTCAGTGTTTGAGATTGAGTTGAGTTTTGACTGGCACTGCAAAGGTACTAATGACAAACTTTTCACAACTTTGTGAACCAATTGATACAATATAGAAGTTCATCTCTCCTTTTGTGAATGAAAAGTGGACAAATGATCACATTTTCAGGTTCTTTCAGTGGGTCACCTGCAACAAAGGCTTCCAGAAACTTTCCACAAAGCAGATTAAATGGCATGAATATTTTCCAATTAAGGGATTTGCATGAGTAGAATGACGGCTGAAATTAATTCCGCAAAATGCAGATGAAAGTTTTAGGCTGGGAACAAAGGCCTTGGGGGTACTTAGTAGAATTAAAAAACTTCCATTGTCTTGGCCACAGTAACAAAACAGCTCTTCTTCCTACTTCAGAGCTTTTTGTTAATGAATTTTTTTTCAATTTTTCAAATGACACTTTGCACTCATGGGTTGTTAGAGAATAACAGAAATTAGGCAAATTTCTATAATTTTCCAACAACCCATTTCAGACATGTAGAGGCTAACTTTGCAAGTCGTGAATTACACCAAGGAGATTAAAGATTACACCAAGCATGAA